AGTGATTTTTTTTCTGACAGAGCTGTTAATAGTTTTAACAAACTGTACTTCAGACAGTGTTATTCTAAATGCTAAAATGGTCAGACCAAATTTCAGCAGAGACCAGTTTATTTTGAAGAGTTTCACCTTAATTAGGCAAAATAATAACCATTTTTAAAGACAAAAATAAAAAAAGAGGCATGTAGACTGGAATCGCAATGGAAATGCTGAGGTAAGCAGGTATGTGAGACTTAAATGACCCCCCCACTTGGAACTTACAGTATCTTGACTAATGTGGCTTTGTTTTATCTGACTTTAGACTTGACTTGGACTTGCTGAAAGACTTAAACTTGACTTGGGCTTGATCCTCGCAGACTTGAAACTTGACCTGTACTTTGTTCAAAAGAAAACGGCTCTGGCAGCAGTTCCCAATTTATGTCAACTTAATACAGTGCAGGGTAGTTTTGAGGGGGTGGTGAATAGCTTTAAGATGGATTACTGAAACCATTAAAAGGCCATAGTGACACCTTGCCTGCAAGGCTAATGAAAGAAATATGTGTACACTCCTGGAGGAACTTTTTTTTTTTTTGCATATGATTCCATGGATGAATGCATGGAGCATTAAAGCCAGAGACAGCGAGAAAGGAGAAAACACTGTCATGCTCATACCTTTTTCAGCCCTTGCTCTCACTGCTCCAACTGGTTTTTATCACAACTGGTTTCCTGCACAGTAATCAGTCATCTGGCTTTGTAGTGGGAAAGCCTGTTGATCATTATCATTTGGATTTTTTTTTGGTTGCAGCGTGTCTATCCGCCTGCCCAGCACCAGTGGCTCAGATGGTTCCCCCTTCAGGTCGGTGTCTGAGTGGCTGGAGTCCATCAAGATGAGCCAGTACAGTGAGAACTTCACCCGCGCTGGGATTGTCACCATGGACCAGGTCCTGCAAATGAAGAACGAGTAAGTGGGACATGATATCAGATTTGGTGATACTACATTAAAACAGTTTGGATTTCACTTAATTTACTTGTTAAGTATATTTTTGGCAAAGAGAAGAAACATTTAATTGTCAAATTATGCTGGGTTGACTGACTTGGACATTTGTGTTCTCACATACAGCTCCCTCACGTTGTGTCTAGAGAATTTCAGGGTTCCAGTGCATGTCTGAAAAGGGCTTATGCATTTGTTTTCCTAAAAATGCTACTGTTTAACAGCCAGCTCAATAGTTTGAACGTAATATAATCTCCAACCTCAGTTACAACTTGAGAAATTTTAGAGATGGAAAAAATAATGGTGGGAAGGAGAAGGAGTGGGCTCATTTGTGGTGAACTGGTGGTGGTGGCTTGTGGTCGCTGCAGTTTTTACTCTTCTTTCCTCTCTCCATTCTTTCTCTTATCCCTCCCTTCACCCACCCACACTAGATGCCCTGGGCAGCACTTTAGCTTAAGCTCTGAAAACCACCAGTTTTGTCTGTTTAGAGCAAAAGCCTTTTGTGGTTTCTTTAACATTAAAGGAGGGAAGGAAGAAGGGAGACTAGCCTGTGAAGCAGGAGCGACTAGATGTGATTAAGGAACTGAAAATGATGTGCGAGAGTTAGTTGCCCCGTAGTTGGAATATTTGTACTCTAGAAAGATTGAAGAGGTGTGCTCACTGTACCCCCTCAACTTATCCCAGTGTAGTTTAAGGCATTTCAATCTTTGGAGCAATAGCAAGGGCCAGAGCTTTTCCAAACTGCATGACCAGCCAAAAGGGACCCCTCTCCCCTTCCTCTGCCATGATGTACGTTTCTCATTTGGTCCTGGACATGATTTGGGGAGATAGGCTAAGTGGAAAGCAGACGGCAAACCTTTTTGAAGTATTTGTCATCCAGAAGGGTGTGATTTCATGGCCCCTTGTTTTCATCTCAGGGCATCTGGGAGCACTCTTGGAAAACCGGCAGTCATTTACAGCCCACCCTGTGCTTGCCAGACAAGTGATTCATGGTCAATGGGGAGAATCCTCGTTAAGTAATTAAGGCTTTGACTTTGGGCTGCTGTGTTGCAGTGCCTTTGCAGGTTTGCCTCATGTGCTCATCAAGAGTGAAACACCCAGTATTATCCTTTAATGATGAAGATGAACTGAGCAGTTGGCAGATTACTAACTGGAAACACCCCACCAAGCTGAACAAGTTGAGCGATTGGGCTAGACATGAATGGAGTGAGCTCGAGGTTGGCATTTCATCACCCTGGGTGTGTCATTGATTACTGCGAGGCTTGAGAGGCAGGAAGGATGTGTGTAGAAAAGTTGGAATGAGTCCAGAGTGTAATCCACATGCAGCATCTCTTATATATACTGTCATGTTTCTCTTTTTCAGGGATATTAAGAACATTGGGGTGAGGCTGCCTGGCCATTTGAAAAGAATTGCCTACAGCATATTGGGTTTAAAAGACCAGACCAGCACCCTGAGTGTGTTTGCAGTATGATCCTGACAATGAAGGGAATTAAATTTGGGCACTGAAGCAGGCAGCCCTTTGAACTCTGAGCTGAGCTGGAGCAGAGCTGCGGGGTCGGCTGTGGATCGGCAGCACCGAGAGAAATGTCACGCCATCCAAATGAATCAGACTGACCTACTGTACATTTTTAATTTCTTCATCTTATCCACATGGGAATGGAGCAAATATACAGCAATAGATGTATCATTTAGATATCTATTTTTATTGTCCATGTCTTCTGTACAGATACAATTCATTGC